TAAATTATCTTAATTATATAATCATGAATATAGTTATTACATGTGATTCGATATATTTGCACAATAGAATGTATTTGTTGTAATATGATTATACAATGTAATACCCGAGATTAGATCCGTAAAATTTCAAACTGATTAGAGCCTGTTATATATTATGTTTTACATTTTTTATTAAAGGCATAAGTACTCAACGAAGAACTCCGCGTTGACGGTAGCGATGTACCATCGCAGTGAAAAATAGAAATTCATACATCCTTGTCATTCATCTTATCCTTGTCCTTGTTCATCTTTATACAAGTGACATGCGGACAACGAAATTGTTTATAATGACTATTTTCGTTATTGTATGCTTAATCGTGCAGATATGACTTGTTTCGTACTTACCAGATTTGTAAAAATGGGCAGCAGCTAAAATTATCGTTGAATATTATATGTGAAAGCATTTTTTCCACTTCTTTCAACAGCTGTGTGTTTTCTGCCTGAACAGGCTTCATTTCACATACCTTACAGCTATTTATTGGCTATCAGGAAGGGAAAGGATAGCAGCCACCCATTTTCACAATGTGTGAAGTGCCATATTAGGTATTATTAAAAGCCATATTAGGTATTATTTTAGTCAAATATCTCTTTATTTGCAAAACTACCGTCATAAACTTTATTGTGTCATTTCTCGCCTATGACGTCACGATTCCAATATGGCCGCGGTGACTACTCCGGGGTCTTAAATATAAGAATCTTTCCTATCGTTTTACATATACATTACATCCAAAAGCAAAATGATAATATATGTGTGGTATATATAAGTTGGTTATTATACTATAAATAGTATACTTTGTGATTAAGTTTAATTGGTAAATTATACATTGCAAAATGGATTGACAAATTATAAATGGATAAACAGATTAATAATAATAAACAAAAATTAAAACTATGTTTTTAATAAAGATACCTATTGCAAAATCACAGATGTTCGTTTAATTATGATAATTTAAACAATACTTTTGACGGAAAAAAACGTATAATATACTTTTGATTGTTATATGAATATACAATCTTTTCCAATTTTAATATCTGAAAAAAATTCTCTTTGTAATATAGATATTATTAAAGAAAAAATATGAAAAGTTTTATATTTTTTGTGAAATTATTGAATAAATTTATTATCTCCTGATTGTAAGAATTTTTTTTCAATCTGTGTATTGTGATATAAGAAAAAAATAATTTTGGATTATTAAAAGATCAATGTTTATTAAAATAGTCCAATAGATTATTTTCGCTTATTATCAGCCATTTCTTGCGAGTAAATTATATATTTTACGTCAAAATCATCTATAACAGTGATAAAATTATAACAGATATTTTTTTCAGAGAAACATTTCAAATACATAAAACATTTCTTTTAAGAATTAAAAATATTGTAATATTTTATTCGCCAATAACAAACTCATATGTTTTCAATTCCATATAAAAAAATTATATAGAACTGAAAATATTTTTTATATAATTTTTTACTATTGATATATTATTATTTAAATAAGCAAAATATAGGTATAAATATTTTTAGATCACAGTTAAATTTAATATAAAACTTATTGTTTTTGGTTTTTATAAAGGTTGTAGTTAAAAAATTTTTTACAACTGTGAACATTGAATTTGTTATATTATAGAGTTATATGACAATAAAGATATTGCACAATTGCATAATCAGCAATATTTGAAATATACTAATAATATCGATATTATTATATAATTATATTAATATATATTCTACTTTATCTATAAAATTTTCATATAATTGAATTTAATATATTGATAATCATAATATCTAAAAAATTATATATGTCTCTGAAATTTTATGCATTTTTTCAGCAGTTATTGAGCAATTATGTTAATTTTTGCCTAATAATTGAGAAGTAAACGAAGATTCCAATGCAAACAAAGATATAACGCTTTTTCTGCAGTTATTGCACACAAAAAATATGCAAAACTTATTTACTGAATGAAAACAGAACGATAAATGGAGATTGAATTGATTAATAGTAAAAACTTCTTAATTGGATCTACGCATCTGTACTTTATCAGAAAATTTCATGATTAAATAAAACTATTAAATTCCTTCTCTCAAATATAATATAATACTGCGAAGGAAATGGATATAATATTATTATATTTGAGAGAAATGCAGTAATATTAGATAATTGAAAATGGATATCTAGAAAAAGACTGCATATATTTCTATGAGGGACAAACTTTTTACATTTTTACATTTTAGATTAAATATGACTGTTGTTGCGTCACGTGTAATACAATTCTTAAAAACGAATGGAATCAATCTGTTAATTGAATATAAGTGTAAAGCGTTCTTCTGGATGATCGCAGTTATTGATAAATGGACGTCTTAGAATTAAATTTGTCTTTTAAATGAACGTCTATATGAAAAGGCTAAATAAAATTTTTATTTGTGTATTTCCTAAACAGTATTTCCTTTTTATTTCGCGAATGAATCTTACTACGCATGAAAGCCTATAGCATACGTGATTCATTTTTAATCATAAATACTATTCTATTAATTTGTTATTATAAAAATCATATACTTTAGAACAGAATTTTATAGAACAATTATTGAACATAAAATTTTTTATAATTTTTTATATCTATGTACAGTTATCTCTTTCTTTCAGTTATATCTTTCTTTCTCTCTCTCTCTCTC